AAAGGGCCTGAGCCCCAAATATGATCAGGCTTTGAAAGGCAAGTGTTTGAATGAAGGCCAGAAAGAGCAATGTCAGTGTCTTCCCAGCATGTGGCCCATCCCCCGCCATCCACAGCAGCCAGCCATATGGGTGTGAAGGCAACTACCTGTACTGCCTGCCCAGGCCAGTGGGTTGGTTGTCCATGGCCATGCGTAGCTGGACTCCATCCCCTCTCACCAAAGTAGTGCCTGCTGGACCATGCCTTTCTCCCTCCAAGCTCCCTGTAAAGAGCTGCAGGTGTTTGGGCTCTGAGAAGCCTGGAGTGGTTGGGGCTCCGTCCCTAGGGAACCTGTCTCTACCTCCCAGCTGCAGCAATTTGAGAAGCAGCTTGTAGGGGCCTGGCCTAACTAAGTGATAGCATCAGCAGGACTGAGGCCCCTAAAAGGATCTGATCACTTGGTAGAATAATTGGAGCATAGTGAGAGACAGACGAAGATGTCAGATGGAGCACACATACCTAAGGCTGATCCTTTCCAAAATTCCCTAAAACTAGTAAAAAGGTTTTTTTTTTTTTCCAAAAAAAACCCACATAATCCTAGAAGGACAAGGAAGACAGGAGAGGAGATCAGCAACAAACCTGGGGGGCTGGGAAGCAAATGGAATGGGCAGGCCCAAGGGAGCTGAATCTTAAACCAGTGGGAGAAAAACTCAGAGAGGATCTGATTGCCCTGCAGAATTCTCCACGGACTCAGAGCTGACTGAGATGGTACCCTTGGAATTAGGAGTAAGGGGCTGAGAAACATTAGACGCAGTCAGGGCTGGGCATCTGCCCTCTTCTCCATCGGGACTGGGAGTCTGGAGGTTTGCTCTCTGCAGAAGGTAAAGCAGAGAGTCTTAGAGCAGGACATCAGTGAGTGTCCCTTCTCCCACTCAGGTTCTCCTTCCCAACTCAGCCTCCACAACACTGGCCCCAGACCTTTGCCCTCTACACAGATCAGAAGAGAACTCTGGGCATTTGGCCATCCAAAAGGAAAAACCCAAATAAAAACATTGACCCCAGGGTTCCCTAACAAAGGGTCCACTAAGATCACCCCACATCGAAGCTCAAAGTCAAAGTGTCCTACTCACTACTAAGGTTCCAATAAAATTTTGGCTCCTCCCACTAACTACGACACCTAATTATAAGCAGATGACCGAAGGTTACCAGACTTCCTAGGAAAACCTCTCACAAGGAATATAGAGACCATGCAGCCTGGAGGCAGCAGAGACTATGCAGAAAGAGAGAAACAAATGTTTAAAGATCATTAATATCCCCCAGAGATTAAGAGATGTTGCATACCAAGAACAGAATGTTATTTTTTTAAAAACCATGCACAGAACAAAAAAAAAAGGGAGAGATTTTGGAAATCAAAAATGGGAGAGCAGACATGTGAGACTCAGGAGAAGGGCTGGAAGCCCAACTTGAGGAAATCTCCCAGAAAGCGGACCAGACACAGAGACGAGGAAAACTGGGGAGCTCCAGCATCAGAGTGACAGAATAGAGGTGGTGGGGAGAGAGCACAGAGAAAAGGGGGATATGAAGTCATTCTCCAAATGATTCAAGAATGTTTCCCCATCCAGAAGAACACGAGCTACAGAGCTGCTGTAAAAATAGGTCCTTCTGTGTTTTCACCTCTGACGTGCACCAGTGTTCAAGGGGAATGTCACAGCCTCTCCTAGTAAGTGGTGAGGAGCGGTCTTCCCTGGAGAAAGAAAAAACCACAGGGCTCCGGTCTGTAAGGAGAGACATGAAGACAAGGAATAAGAACCCTTGACTCTCCCATTATTCCACAGAGGGTGGGGCTGCGACACAGTGTGTCTGGTTCCAGGGGAGGGACCCCATCCTCTATGCAAGTCTCCTTTTATAGGTGACTATGGGAAAGCAGCCTTTTCAAGGGGGTAACAATAGGCTACTGGGCACCAGGCAGACTGGATTTGGGGTATCTGATGTTTTCAGTTGTTGGGTAATGCCAGATACTCAGCATCTGATGACCTTGGAGTCTGTGGGAATGTTTAGGTGTGCCCCCAGTGGGGAAGGGTGGGAAAGAAGAAGCTGTTGGAAGCTAAGCTTGGGTGTAACTCTTCCCACCTAGCTTATACCTAGGCAACCCTGAGTAGGCTCCAGGGTCTTCTTAATAATTCTGCACCATGAAGACTGAATATCCCACTGAGCTTCCGCATAATGGCTAAAAACAATCCCATTCCAATGTGCACTAATATTCAGATCACTGGGGACAGAAGCAAATCCTATAAAGTTCCAAGGAGAGAAGCATAGGTTACCTATGAGTGGTCAGTGATCCTAATGGATTGGAACCTCTAAGCATCCACACTGACAAACAGGATGAAGCAAGGCCCTCAAAATTCTAAAGGAACATAATTTCTACCCCACAATTCTATATCCAACTAATTATTAATCAAATAGGAGAGTGGTATTTTTCAGCCATGCAAAGTCTCCAAAAATCACCACTCCAAACCCTTCCTCAAGAAACTACAGGAACATGTTCACCACTAAAACCAAGGAAAAGGGATGCAGGAAACAGAAGATCCAATCAAGAGAAAAGCCAAAAGCATTTCCTGGAGGATGATGGAGGGAGACCCCGAAGAGCAGCTGGTTCAGACTGGAGCAGTCAATATCATGCCCTCAGCTGCTATTCCACATTGTTTGCCTGACAATGTGCTTTATCAAAGCAAGGGACCAAAGAGAAAGCCGTAAGATCCAGGACACAAAGACCCCAAACTCAAGAGAAAGACCAAGGGAATTCGAAGGATGGGAGCAAAAAGAAATCTCAGGGTAACAACTGGATGGCAAGCCTAGGGAACAACAGCAAGTCCAGGCTAGAGGTAAGTGGAGGTCTCAAGGAGTGACAACTCCAGGAAAACTAATTGGAAATGACAGATTACCTCCTCTGACTGCCCTTACAAAAAGTGAAGAATAGGGAAGAATATGCAGTGGCTATAAAGAGAGTTAAGCAAATGGAAACAACAAAGCAATTACTAACTTCGGGAAAAACAAAAGTGAGAAAGAAAGTAAGAGAGGGGTGAGGAGAGGGAAGGAGGAAGAGAAAAGAGAAAAGAAGGAAGGAAACAACAGTATATATTACAAAGCTCAGCTGTGAGTAATTTTTACATAGGCATAATAATGTAGAGTTGAATGTTGACTTAAGCAAAAATCGTAAAATTACCATCCAGGAAGAATGGGAGAGGGTAGGAAAAGAGGATATTAGTATAAAAGCAATAAACCTCATCTATTATATCAAGAAATTAATTGATAATGCCTAATTAAGTAATCAAAACACAGCAACATACAGACATACATTTCAGACATAGAAATGGGTATATTTTGGAAGAAATAGGTAGTAATAGTCTAGCAGTTGTCTTTAAGGAGAACTGGGAAAGTGGGAAGAGTGGAGCAGGGAACTACTTATGTCACAAGCCTGTTATTACTCTTTGACTTTTAAAATGTGTGTATGTATCATCTCAACTTTTAAAATAAACAAAAGTACAGCAATATTAGAAGGCTATGCCTAGGAAATCATCTGATTTGACTGGCTTGTAAACACTGTACAAAGACTCACAAATTTGTTCTTACTTAATAGTTTTGGGTCTGATTCTCCCTAAGGGGGTGAATATTTCAAAGATACACAATAAGCATTTGTGGAGTGAACAAATGAACAAATGAAGAGCCAACAAACCACCAGAAGGAAAGTACAACATACTCCTAAGAGCCCAGTAGCTGCCTTTGTGTGGACAGATGCTGTCTGTTAGGGTCCACGGCGAAGACGGCTGCACAAGATGAGGCAGCCTCTCTGGGAGGGATGCTTGGTACCAGGGAACGCCCACTCTTTATAAGAGGTCTGGTGGTCCTGATTTCAGACCCACATGGGACCACTAACCCCACAGCTTGGGTACCTATGTCCACAGGGGTTTGGGCTTTGTAAGTTGGACTCCTTAGGTAGAAAGAAATCAAGACTCACCTAGACCACCTCAAGAGAGAGAAGGACATGATGGTCAGGAAATACAAGAACTGAAACTGGAATGGGACAGAATAGACTGGAAAAACCACCAAAGGTAGCTCTGGGGACCTGCCCTTTCTGGTGTGTCACTCCTTGTATGTGTTCTTCTCTCTTGGTGCCTCTGCATCTCTGGAAAGTGGACATTGTGGGATGTCCTTTCTAGGTTTGGGGGGATTTCCATCATTATGAGCCCTCTTTCCCACTGCTGAACCCAGAAACCTGGCCTCTGCAAACTCCTTGGCAGCATGGCCTCAGGCGGGTGACTTAGATTCCACCATGTAGTCTCACTCACACCAGTCTGTGACCAGACGTGAGCACATGAAGAAGAAAGTACAACGTGGCAAAGGCATCCAACTTGGGGACAGTGGTGCTGGTTTCCTTTGTGGCACGGCATGGGCCATCCTTCCTGGGACTCAGCCTCGAGCCTGGTTCTCTGCCCTTCAAATGTTTCCCTGTGGCTCTTGGTTTAGGTTCCCCAACCTAATCCCCTCTGATTTGAATGTTCAACTGTAACTGTATATTTGAGAGGGGATCTGGGAAGATAATGGTGGAAGAGAGGAAGAGAGAGAGAAAAGGAAGCTATGCATCATCCAGTGTGGTAGGTTGGCGATGGCTCCCCTTCCTCCCATTCCAGAATCCAGTACCCATGCTCCTTGGTAATCCGTGCTCCTGGTCTTCACCACTTCTCCCATTTAAGGCGGAATGTATTTCTACACCGCATGGATCTGGCCAGCCTTGGGACTTACCTTGACAAATAGCATATGGTGGAAGTGGCATTGATTGAGTTCTGGAGCGCAGGTCTGCAGAAGCCTGAAGCTTCTGCCTGTACCCTCTTGTAACACTGCCCTGAGACTGTCTCGGCAGGAAGCTGGTGTAGCCTACTGGGGAATGAGAGGTCACATGGAGGGGAACTGAGGCACCTAGCCAACTGCCAGACATGTGAGACTTTCTTTCCTGACCAACCTCCATTCCCCTTTCCTGAATGCAGCTGTGCAGGGGAGCTTAGGTGAGACCAACAGAAGAACCACCAACCCACAGAATGTGAGAAATAATGATTATTAGTTCACATCACATAATGTTTGGATGGCTTGCTCCATAGCAGTAGATAACTGTTATATCAAGCTAGTTACCACTCAGGGCAACTGGAGGCTTGGAAGCTCTGGGAGACAGTGTGGAACATGCCTCAGAGTTACCTCAGTCAGGGAGTGGGGAGCTAGAGTATTTATTCACCAACTTGCCGTCCATCGCTGGTTCAGATCTGCTTACGGGGCATGAAGTCTCCAGCACTTCGTTTTCTCTGCACAATGGCCAAGCATGCTCCCTGTAGCCAGAGACCTGTACATTGTCATAGTAAGTAGACTTCAGCATATGGCAGTGAATGCAAGGGAGTCTGGGCAGGGCACTGACAGAATCTGTTACAGTGTGTGACCCAGTGTGTTTTTCAGAGACTTCTTTTCTGTTTGATCAGCTAGGCTCAATTTCTGTTGCTTACATCCTGGAACTCTGACTGATGAATGTGTGTCCCCATTCCAGTCCTTCCTGGCTACCAGCTGACCTGGGCCCTCTCTATCCCACAATCTAAATTCTGCAGGCAGCCAAGCTGATTGGCTCTACACACTTCTACCATCCCTGACTGGCAGAGCTCTTCCAGCCAGATGGTCACCAAGTGGTCTGTAAGTGGGAAGCCTGAAATCAGGGGCCTGCCTGGACCAGTCAAGGTTCAGTAACTTCCCTGTGAAGGGCTATTGAGTGTGTGTAGCTGCCATGAATGATCTGCTCCAGCGAAGTGGAGAGAGGCATTTGTGTCTACCCTGCCCTATCTCACCATAAGGACGTGGCCCATTGTTCCCCAGTTCAGCACCTCTGCGGCATGGAGCCCGCAGTCCACTGTGGGGAAAGAAGTAAGGAATTCCTGATACCCAAAATACTTACCCCATACCCCCAGCCTTCCCAAGGAACCCCCAACTCCTGGTGCCACTTAGAAGTGAGACTCATGCCTGCTTTTTAAATGGGAACATGACATGCATTTTCTTGCATAAACCACACTATAAATGGTGACCATATGCAGTTAACATTATGAGTTAAACAGACCATTGTGAGTTAAACAGAAATTTGCTTCAGGAACATCATGAGTTAACAGAAATTTGTGGACTGGCCTGAAAAACCAACCACCATTTATAACTTGTTTTCTATGGGGAAATGCATTCTGACTTCCAAACAACTGGCTCATAGGGATATCTGGAACACAGCTTGGCCACAACATTAGGAACTGGAGGTGGCTTCTCAGTGGGTTTAATGAACATGGTCATGGTGGGAAGTTGGTGGTGGGCTCTTGCTCCAGGCTTAAAGAACCCTGAAGAAAGGTGTGAGGTGCTCTGGGCAACCCTATGGAGTATCTACCCTTTCCTTCTGGAAGCTGGAAGCAACCTTGCAGTTGGAGGAGAAACTGAGAGGCGTTGAGTCCTACATGCTACTCAGGGTAACATTCTTGACAGTCTCCACTTAAGCGCTCCCAAGACCAAGGCAGAGATTTTACAGGGCTCAGTGTCACAGTTCTTTCCTGTCCTGAGATGAAATCTGCCCTGATACTACCACGGCAGTCTCCACTCACCCTTCAGATCTTGCTCAGGTTTTAACTCCTCTGTGCAGCCTTCCCTAATCCCTATTCTTCTGCACATTAATTAGAGGAATCCTAGCTGCCGTAACAGACTTCAAACATTTCAGAATATATCTCTCCTTATTAAATAGTGGATGTCTTAGCCTGGGCTATGGTAACAAATACCACAGACTAGATGGCTTAAACATCCACATTTACATCTCACAGTTCTGGGGCTGGGAAGTCCCACAGTCTAAGAGCTGAAAGTCAGTGTCCGGGCGAACCCCCCCTCCTGGGCACAGGCAGCTGTCTTGGTGCTGAGTGCATGCCCAGTGGAGAGGGAGCAGCTGTCTCCTGTGTCTTCTTAGAAGGGCACTGATCCCGTTCATGGGCACTCCACCCTCATGACCTAGTTACCTCCCAAGGACCCCAATTCCTAATACCATGCGGGGATTGGACCTCAAATTATGAATGGGGGATAAACACTCAGGCCGCAGCAATGGGTTCTCCGAGCAGCCAGCATTTCCTATTTGGTGATTTAGGGTGCCAGGCTCCTGCCAACCTGCCAATGTCCCCTCAACAGGTGGCAAGGAGAGCTGCAAGAAGACATACCTGTTTTCTAAAGGCCAATGCTTCTTGTCTTGGAAGTGAGTCATCATTTCTACTCAGTGCCATTGGCAAAAGCCAGTAACATTTCCACCCAAAGGCAGGAGAGGAGCACCGGGTTGGCACTTCTGTGACAGCTATGGACCAAGGAAGCAGAAGTACAAAGTCCTGATAGACACCAAGTTGTCTTTCACACACTCACGCACATGCGCGCGCACGCACACACACACACACACACACCTGCTCTCAGCAGGCACCAAACAGATGCCCAGCCAATCCGCATATGTTAAGCTCAGTGAGCTCAGTGTAATTGAGGCAAAAGACCAGACCAATCCCTTCAGCCCTAAACTCACCCATATGTCCCTGGGTTCACAGGACACCAGGGAGAAAAAAAATTAATGCTCCAGGGAATCCTTCCTCCAACTGGGGATACAATGGGAACAAAGCCTCTTACTAGGGCTGGACCTACCTGCAATCTTGAGAGATGCTCTGAGCACTCCCTGTCCTTGAAATGTTCCCTATTGGCAGATGCCTGCAATTCCACCCTTGGAGCAGCGCAGCTGAGGCCCAGGGCACTGTACGTGCATAATGGGCAAACAATAGTAGCTGTTCGCTTTCACTGGGCACTTAGGATGTGCCAGTATTGTTCTGAGAACGTGACACTGTTAACTCAAATAACCCTCTCCAGCCTATGGCTGAGCTATTATTATGCTATTACAGATAGGGATGGAGGCACTGAGGTAAGGCACAGAACCAGGGAGAGCTGGGCTGCCATCCCAAACTCCAGCTCCAGGTTCTGCCAGCCACTGGACCAGATTGCCCAGCCCAGACGGGAGGGAGCCACTCAGTCCTTTGTGCCTCTTTGTAAAGCCGTCCCAGTTTCCTTCTGTTTCTGTTCCAGGGAAGGACAGTGAGGAAATGTGAGGACTGGAGGCTAGGACGAGACCCTAACCTGGCCTGGGCGCCCCTCTTCAGGGGAGAGAGCAGCTCATTCGCTCTGCAGGTCAGGAGTTCTGGGGTCTCCCCACCCTTGTCCCATGCCTGGCATTCCCCTGTCAACCACCTGTCACTGGAGCAGAGCAGAGCAGCTGCATGCCTGGAGGCCCCCTCCAGCCCCTTTAAGTGAGGAGGCCCCAAGGCAGGGGAGGAGAGGAGAGGCAGACTGGTGCCGGAGACCCCCAGTGGGCTTTTCTGCTGGGGCTTGTAGCAAATCCGAGGCCGAAGGTTCCCAGCCCCAGCTTCTCCAGCCCCCAGCTGAGAGCCCAGGGCTGGGGTAGGAGCTCAGAGTAGTGTGGGTCCCACCATCCCCACTACAAGAGGCGGCCTAAGCCACAGTGTAAGAGTCAGAGATGGAGACCCCAGGGAAACCGCCTCCCAGAGACTCCTCCTTGCACACCTAACTGGTGGAGAATGCTCAGAACACGGGTTTCAAATTCCTCTGTCAATGACTGAAAGATAGCTTAGAGAGCACATCACCATTTGGAGTCTGTTTCCTCATCTACTAAATGGGCTTACGACCCTCAGTCACAGCCACCTGGGGCTTTGCAGGTTGTCAGATTCCTACTAACCTGGTGCCCCCACTGCAGCCACCCTTAAAACAATTGGACTCCATAGCAAAATTGCACTCCCAAGCCCCAAAATTCCCTTTATGATACTCTGTATCCTTGAAAACAAATGTCATGGAAAACCACTTCATATCATAAAGAAATGTTCATTGTATATTGTTGTGAGAAAATGGCAGGTTAGAAAGCAGTAGATTCATATCCTCTAAGTTTTGTTTTTTTAAATGTGTATATATCTATCTACGATAATGCTAATAGGATGGAAAAATTATTGGGAAATTTTAATTTTCTTTTTGTGCCTTTCAGCTTTTTAAAACACATTTCCTACAAGTATTTGTTATCAGATTAAAACATTTTTTCAGGTACTTAAAACCTTAATTTTATTGTGTTCATTTCCCTTCCCCAAAATACACCAAAGGCTCTTCCCAGCCCATGTAATACTGTCAGTGAGACGTTTTTTATGCTGGAAGCATCTGAGGCAGGGATCCCTGATTCTTTGGGAACCCCAGACTTCTTAGACAGTTTGATGGAACCTGCGGGCCTCTCTCCAGAAAAATACATGTAGATGCAAATCTTAAGTGATTTGACAGGAAGTTCTTCGACTCCATGAAGCCTGTCCATGAACTTCTGGTGTAAAGCTTCTGATTCAAGTAAATTCCCAGATTTTAAGGGTCCCCAAGTAAATCTCAGGCCAGGAGAGAGAGACAGCAATTTACTGAAGGTTGCAACGAGGCTAGACTCCTTTAAGGCTGTCTACAGTCTAGTCCCTCTGAGCTTTCCAGCTTTACTCCCAACTGCTCCCCTACTTGGACATATTAGCTTCTACTCAACACAAGTGGCCTTCTCCAGCCTTCTTCCAGCCATTGCTCTCTAAGCTCTGCTAAATGCCCTTTCTCCTCCTCTCCACCTTCCAAATCCTTTTCGTCAGTGTCAAGATTAGCTTCAGCTGCATGTAAGTGACCTTCCTCCTCCCAAAAGAGTGACTCAAACACTCAAAGGGATATTGCATCTGGCTTAAAGTCTAGCGGGGAGCAATCCAGGGCTGGTGTGGAAACTCCAGGAAACCAGCAGGAATCCAGGCTCCTTCTGCCTGTTTTGCTCTGCCACACTCAGTTTGCACAGTCCATACCCAAGATTGCCTCATGGACCAAGAGATCTACCAGGAAGCAGGAAGAAGGACAGCGGGAAGAACAATAAAGGAACACTTCCCCCTTGAGTCACTTCCCTTTAAAGAGGCTTCCCAGAAGTCCCACAGATCACGTCCACTGCACCGCAGGATAGAAAACAGGCCCCTGACAGCATCTAACTGCAAGGGAGGCTGGGAAATGTAGTCTTTTCAACTGGGCATTCCATTCAGGGTCCTGTTATTAGGGAAGAAGAGTGGGGTGGATATCTACCAGGGAATTTTCAGCTTCTGGGGTGTTATCTCTGAAGAGCATGTTATATATGAAGCCTTGCCCACCCACTCCTACCTGCTAGGGATCTCAGCTTCCTGTGCAACCTTCTAGTCTGTGTCCAAGCCTTTTATTTTCTAATTCCCATCTCTAGCTAGTATTTATTATTTATTTAAATAATTCGATTGTTAAAATTTACTTAAACAATATTTTAAAATTATTGTTTAATTAAATATTTAGTTACTAAATTATTTAAATATTTCATTACTATCAGATTTGGGGGAGTGGATGTATTGTAAACATTATTTACATTTGTAACATTGATATAATTCTTTTTAAAATCCAAAATCTATATTCCAATTATGTCAATCGCCCCAATAATGTGCTTTATGAAACTACAAAAAGCAAGCTTACTAAGAGATCAAGACTTATTTCTGCTTCTTTTTACTTACAGATAGAGGAACAATCTATCATGTTCAACAAATTACTTGGGTCATTTTTTTTTCTTTCAGTGTGGTTATCTTATTCCTTTAAAATACAGTTGAGTTCATTAACTTCCATTTGAAAACAGTTTTAGGCATACTCCATCCTTGCTGACTTAATGTTCTTTTTTTAATGTATAGAATATTAACATAATTCCGAAAGTCACAACTGACTAGAAAGGCATACTCAGGGAAGTGTCACTCTCACAAACCTTCCTTCAGGTCTCCCTCCCACCCCTACCCCTTGTCTATAACCAGTTTCATTAGTGTATAGTTCATCCTTCTTGTGCTTCTTTTGGAAAGTTTAGCAAACAAGTACATGTTTTCTTATTTCCCCTTCTTTCTTATGTAAAAGATAGTATGTACCATATTGTTCTTTTCTGTATGTTTGCTTTGTCCACTTAACAGTATATCCTGCAAATGACTCCATATTAGTTCCAAGAGGTCTTCCTCATTCATGTCACAGTGACATAGGATTCTACTGGGTGAGTGTTCCCTAAATGACTCAACCAGTTTCTTGTGCTTTGACATTTCAGTCATTTCCCATGTTTTGTAACTGCAGATTAACCATATGTACTTCCGTATGTCCACACTGATGAAAGGTATCTTCAGGGTAAGTTCCTATACTGGGATTACCAGATTAAAGGGTATGCGTGTGTATAGTTTTCTTAGGTGTTGACAAATTCTCCTCCATGTGGTCGTACTGTTTTGCATTCCCACCAGCAATGTCTAAGATGGCCTATTTCCCCACAGCCTCACCAGAAGTGGACTGTCAAGCTATTGCATTTTTGCTAATCTGATGCATGAGAAATGGTCTCAGTATAGTTTTAATTAGCATTTCTCTTATATTTTCATATGTTTAAGTGCTATTTTTATATCATTTTTTTGTATGTGAATTGTCTGTTCATGTCTTGCTCATTTTTCTATAGATTTTTAAATCTTTTTTCCTTCAGTTTTTAAATATTCTTTATAAGATAGGGATATCTCATTTTATTCTTCCTGTGTGTCATCTAACCTCCTCTGTGCCAGGCACCAGTGGAGACTATCCTCTACCTGGGGCAGTCATAGTTTAGAAGGAGAGAAAAATTTAATAACAACATCCTAGGAGTTGTAATAGAGGCATGAAAATGGTGGGAAGAGTTTCTCTGGCTGATGGAATCCAGAAAGGCTTCACAGAGGGGGTGACCTTTACAAAGCTGTCAAAACTAGAAAACATAGGAAGGTGGATAGGCAGATGGGGAAAAGCCAGGGAAGAGGAGAGCGTGGCCTGGTCTTCAGGAGCCTTTCCAGCACCTTCTGACTCCCAGGCTTAGAAGCCAAGCTCAGGCCCTTCCCGCCCAGGCCTCTTCCTGGCCATCCCAGTGCCCTTCCTTAGAGTTATAGTTCTGCATGGACTGTGGTCAGCCAAGTTACAGGAGGGTGGTGGATTTTGCTCTTTCCTACTTTAGACCCAGCTGCAGAGCTGTTTCAGGCACAATTGACCCTGCTCTCTTATTGTGGGCGTGTGTGTGTGTGTGTGTGTGTGTGTGTGTGTGTGTGTGCGTGCGCGCGCACGCGCATGTGGGGGGGGGCGTGTGTGTGTGTGTGTGTGCGCGCATGGCACACATGGCACACATGCCCAGAAACACCTGAGAGAAACGTAGTCCGTGACTGAGAGGCCACATGTCCTCCATATGCCTACAACCTGTACATTTGCAGTTAAAAATGAGCTCTCACCTTCCCTCTGCCACCTGAGCCTCCCACCATCTCAAGCTGGGGAGGATTCACATTCTTGTTTCCCCCACCTCTCCACTCAGAAAAGGGAGGGGACTGATTCATAGATTGGCCAAGCAGGGAGGGACAGAACTCTCAGAGGCTTGACCTGGTCAGGGAAGGCTTCCAGGCAGACACGGAGACTGAACTAGACTGGGAGAGTTGAGTGGGATTTAGAGAAGCTGGAGAGACAGTAGGCAGTGTGAGCAGCACAAGGAAAAGATGGACCCAGCACCCAGCATAGTGTGCACATCGAGGAAGGACCATGGAAGCTGATGAGATATTAAGTCAAGACAGATGCAAAAGGGATAAAGGTGCATGGAGATGCAAGCCTGGTAACACTGGGACTAAGTCAGGGTAGGTAAATGCTGGGATAAA